TTACTCCGTGCGGCTATAAACGACTGTTAAATGGAATGATGAATTGTTGAAGGATTTTGAAAACGGAAGAAATGATAGTCATGCCGGCGCAGCATCCTCAACGTTGAAAAATGCCCCGGTCCGAAGTGGTTAACCGGGAAATTGAGAAATATTACGTATGCATATCCCAAAACAGAGTCACACTTTCTAGATTTCATTTCTACCGTTCTGATATGTGGAATAAACATGAACAAAAATCACACCATAATCTAAAGTACATATCAAGACATAATTTTACTTACTAGGTTTTCAGAATAGGAAAATGCTCACTTAGTAGAAACAGTTTTTATAATTTAAATGTCACAAGGAATAACTTCTCCAGTATAGGGACGGAGAAGGAATTTCATTTTCAAAGGATTGGGAGTAGATGTATGTAACCTAACCTTGGCTTATTTATTATTGATATGTATAGCATTGGGAACATTATTTGCGGGCAAAATGTATTGATGAGTGCATATTCAGAGAAGTGTGTGTTTTCTTCTGTGGTAATAGTGTGCATCTACGTGGATGCTGCATATCTCACAAATTGTGCCAACAGTCCCACACACTTCAAGACGTGATGCCAATCCCAGGGTTTATGCCCCCCAAGCTGGACCAAGACAGCATGAGTTTCCTAGCAATAGAGGCTCCTTGGTGGGAACTTTACTTCACTGGTTTACAGATGACTGTGAGATGCATGCGTTGTTACAATGAACACTCCAAGCTAGCATGGCTCTTTTCGGCCGAAGAGAGAGTACTTCTGCTTAAGGCAAATAATGCTTGGATGCTTTAGTAGACCACTCTCATTTTGCCTACAACTTGTATGGGTGGCCAAAGTTTGCAGAAATATCACCTTTGGGTTGGTTTTGAATATTACCCCCAATTTGTTCCAAATAGACATTTGTCTCATTGATTTCAAATAAAGTTGTATTTTCATTTAGTATTGAGTAGTACATGTATGATTATCTGGTGTTTTGATCCCTCAGTGGGATTTTTAACACTATGAATGATTCTTTCACTTTTATACATATATCAACAGTCGATCATAGTTTTAGCAGCCACTTGTACAAAAACACAACTGTGGCATCAAAAAAGTAGACCCTATGATGTAATAAGCCTGCATCTCCATTGTTATTCACTTCATTTAATTAAAAATTAACCCTAACCCCCGAGGGGCAATGGAAATTATGCATATGAATAAAGTTATTTGAGAATTTTTGGTTTCATGACTTTGCAGCATGTCAACGTAACACATTCATGACATTGTAATACAAACCTTTACAGAATTCTGATGCCATGAAATCAGGTGTGCACCCAAAACCTGGGCCCAATTTCACCGAGCTGCTTAAGTTAGCCAATAAGTCATGCTTACTGTAGCAGAAAAATTTGCTCACCTTACAAGCACTACTTGCGTGGCATTGTTGTGCTTATGGTTGTGCACAGAGATTTCTATTATTACAACACTAAGTTAAGCAATTCTTTCCTCTGAGGTTAGCATGCTGTTTGCTCTGCTTACTCCTTACAGTCTACATGAAATATGCAGAGCCTTTTTAACTGTAAAATTATGTGCTTAGCAGTGCCATGAAATAGGGCAGATTGTCTGCATTAAATTATTGTAAAGTTTGTGCTTTTAATTTGTAATTTTCATCTCTTAATTATGCAAGGCAATGCCAACAAAGTTTAATTTCTTTTGAAAAATTCATAATTAATTTTGTAAGAGATAAAATTTGACAACTAAGGTTGTGATCATTAAAAGAATACAAACTTTTGTAGAAAAATTCTTCTGGCCAGAGAGTAACTTGCATAGTAGTTTGGATTGTAAAAGTTCTTTTAATGTTGATTTGTCCGAGTCTGTTTCCTGAGTACCTAACCTCCCTCCCCAAGAAAAAAATATTTACATGGTTGCACAAATGTAAGCACAGCATGAAGTAATGACACTGATAGACCTTCATCTGATTGCTACCTTACCATTACTCAAAATCACAAGCATTGAACTATGTGTTGGCACTACAGCAGGCATTCCTATAGAGGTTATACATGAGTATGTCCTCAGATGGCATTTTATCACTTGGATTGGCTCGAGTAAACCTTTATGCATTTGTTGTAACTAAATTGAAGTAACAAAAAACGGCGGCCTTCAAGATACCGTGGAGATGCCAGCAACGCAAAACCTCTATTTGTTCTGAGTTTGTTGTGAATCGAGACGGACTCGAGTTGAGTCATCGACTCAAGTCGCTACAACTCTAACATTTGTGCAAAATAATGGAGCAGTGGAAACAACTGTATGACATTCCAGGTGGAGGATAATTCGCATAATGCCCTTGGTACGCATCATTTGTGTGTATGAATGGGCACTCGGGCTTCACCCTGGGGCCCATTATTGCCCACACACGATGTAGCTTTATTCTTTGCATACACAATAGCTCAGAGTTGTAATGACTCACGTCTTACTTGAGTAACAATTTTTGAGGACTTGAGTTCCAATGAGTAAACAAACTCGCCTCACTTCACATGAATGAATAACTCTACTCGAGACCTTCATCAGAAGCCCCGACTCGAGTGACAGTAAGCCTAGAGTCCCAAAAGTAAACAAACTTTACGACAATATATTTGCAATGACTCACAGTGTCAGTTTATTTTGTTCATTTCTATGATCATCAAAGGCAAGATGTGGTGTGACCACATGTATAAACCTAGAGGTTAATATAAAAATGCCAAAAACTGACTTTCTCCCTTCTTTTTATTCATCATATTGTGTTCAAGTATTGATGACTCCATTTACATGTAAATTAACTAAATACATGACTTGACTCAACTTTTTGCCTACGTTACAGTGACTAGAGTCAGAAATTAGTGGGTCATTGCAACTGCAATAGCTGCATGCTCTATTGTACACATAGTGAACAGTCAGTTTGTTTCCAACTCCTAAAGCTAGCACTACTCTGCTCCCAACCACAGTGCATTACACAAAAGGACTACACTATGGGGGTATCTCCAAAAACAGTATCCTGGTAGCTAATGTTGACATCAGTGTGTTTAGAATGAACAGATGATGTCTCGGCTACCATTGTAATTTTTTTGGGGGGGGGCTGCAAACTTTCCCTTCTTGCATCTTTTTGACTGATCTCATCAAATAAGAGTCAATAAGTCTTCAAACGGCAAAGGAAAGTTTTTTGAATGAATGAAATAAACTGTTATCCGTTTGATTTTACAGATGGCAGATGGACATTTTAGAAGCAAACCTGCGCAGCTGGCCTAGTAAAGTATTATACTTACACAAGTAACATTTGAGGTAATACAGACCATGTCATAGCTGTGCAAATAGGCCTATTCCTCTTTATCCCCTACAGCAGATAGCGTGTAGTCGGTTACAATGCACATAAAGGTTCATTTCAACAGAGTTTTAGATCATTTGACCTTACAAATAAACACAGACACATTGGTTATGTCAATCAGACATGTAGGCTGCTTGTACCCTGTGAGATGAATTAAATTTAAGCAAATTAATAAAAATTGGGGGGGGGGTTGAATCCCAGGAGTTGACATGAAACACTTCAGAAGACTGTGGAAATGGCTGGGTTTATTTAGTGGTTATGTGTGAATAAATGTAAATAATATATTCAATTCAGTCAAAGGCTTGCATTTCAACAATCTTGCTTTTCAATGATGTACAAATGAATTAATGTACAAAACGGTTCTTTTACTTATGTGACTGATCCTTATTCCGCTTGTGGGGTAGGGTAAAAATTGTCCAATGTGATCCCACAGAGCAGAATTGAAGGAATGGATACGTGTACATGTATCTTTGCTTGCAGTAGATGAACCAATTGAAATACATGTATTCTGAAAGTTACTCGATTTGAAGAAATGGAGAAAGTGCATTTGGTAGTAATTCTGTTAATCTCATTCCTACCAAACAAGGAAGCAAACATTAATGCACCTGTTCAGCTCATTTCCTGTGTAATAATTTACCTCATCCATGCATCAAAAACATTCTTCCAAGACCAAAAAGGGCAATGTTGCAATTTGATCCAAATGTTAAAAGAATGAAGACTCAGTTTTAGGCTATTCGACAGAGACTGTTCTACAAATGGGTCAGGTCAAATTGGCCCAGATCCAAATCTGTCATTCCAAAATAAAGCAAGAACTAAACTAGGCAACATTTTTGTATTACAGCCTTGTCCACCAAAAAAATTCTTCTAGTAAATCTTCTTGTAAATTTTTTTCTCTTTTAGTAAGTCAAACACCTTTGTACACTGTAATTTCCACACAAATTGTACAAACCATTTTTATTTGCCGTTTCATTAAAAAATTCTACCGTTAAAAGGACAAATAAAGAAACCTGTTAAGTTAAAATCAATGTCCAAAATATACAGTCAAAATTCTGCTTCACCAACTAGTAACTTTAAAGGGAGGGACACAATGTGCTGTGGAGTTTAATCATGGTCTCTCAAATCTTCAAGTTTTAAAAGACATTCAAACACCTCATGCCCAACAAACCCTCCACAAGTGCTTTATGTAACCTGTAAATGTAACAATGTTCTTAGAAGTCCTCAGTAACATGTGCAGATGTATGTGTCAAGGCCCGGCATCTAGATAGTATCAACTACACAAAATGAGTAGGTGAAAATTACACATTAACCCAGCAGTTGCCATCCTCAAGCATATTTTCATACCACTGCATACATTTCAGTGCAACAGAGTTGAAATGCCTAACACAGTCTACAGCAGCCCTGAACTATAGGAACCCTCTATTGCACTCATGTTGCACAATCTATAAAAACATGTACATTTACTTTGCTTTAAAAACTACAATCCATAGCCCTTTTGCAATTCGTAGACATGCCTACGTGTACAAACCCATGCAGTTTGCAGTATGAAGCAATTTGTACTGTTTTTGACCCACCAATGCTAAACCCTGATGTTTTACCATTTCTAAGAACTGCCTCGGGAGAAATAGCATGCATGTAATTACAACTTGATGGTTCTTCTTGCAAAAGTGCTGTCTATACAGGAATCCATGCAGTGGTTAAAACACTGTGCAAGGTTTTTGTCCACAAAAGCTGTCCCAGGATTGTACTCTAGACAATGTTTCCACCATTCCTGTAGGCATGGTAGGGAATGGTGTAAGCATTGTATTGTGATCCTGTGCCTAAATTTATGTGGGATTTTATTTTTAAATTCCAGGCAAAGTCGTCCCAACTTCTGAAAGTCACCCCACTCTTCTTTCTTTCCATACAACACCATTATACTGATGGAAAGAACTAAAATTTTATGCAAAAAAGATGGATGCCTTCAAATTTACTCACAATTACATGTACCTGAATTTTCAGAATGAAGTTACCAGTAAAGTGAATGCTTTGCTTCGGCATCTGCTTCTAATAGATTAAATACAACACTTTACCAGGAATCTTCACACACTTCCTAACGGCTATGCACAACGAAATAAATGTGACTATTAGCCTCACTTTGAGGTGAATGAAAGAAACTGGGATATACTTCAAATAATGTGACTTTACACAAACGTAATGTACATGTGGAGAGGTGAATGGACATTTACAGAGAGAAATCATACAGTGGTTACTGGTTCACAAACAACAAACTAAACATTATACTGGGTATTTAACAGGGCAAACATGCATGAATCCTGTCAATAGATAAGTATATATACACATACATAAAAAGGGAAACCCTTTTCAGAGTAACCTCTAAAAGAATGTTCAGAAATTCAAACATTTTGAAATGACCTCTGTTCCTGAATAGACGTCTGTGCTGCCGACATCGCACTTCACTTACATGTGTGCTTTCCTATGGTGCTTGGCAGTCCATACATGTAAGTCCCCCCCCCCGGCTCCATAAGAAAGTGCATAATGTAAACCAAGTGTGATGTCATCAATTCAGGGGCCAATTTGATCACCAACCTTCATCCGAAGTAGAATCAGGCTTTTACAGCTGTATACTTGAACATGACAAAAATATCAATGGATGTCACTGTTTAAAATCATCAACTGCATATACTCAAATAAAAAACACCAGTAAAAGCATTATTACTTGACAAGTGTACATGATTAAAATTTGATACCACTATGTTAAATGTTGGGTGAGTGTATGGCATTACAGCAGTAAGCAGTAACATCTCTCTCTGGCAAAGGAAAACTTCCTGGGTTGAAATGGATTGTAACAGATGAGGATGGGGCTCGGAAAGGGTTGGACTAAAGAAAATGACAAGCTCTGCACTTTGCCTACTTTGCACTTTTTTGGAATCCTACTTCATGTAAGTAACTCAAACAGGAATTGATTCAAGGTGGCTTAAGTTTATGATTACAAACTTACATGAACACAGTAGTCTTCCTTTCTGTAACGTACAAGAAGTAAATGTTTTCTTCTTGGACTGATTTCTCAAGTTTACAAATCCAAACACGGAAAGTGAAATACAGCAACAATTATCCTAATAACCTGTCCAAATTTTAGGGGTTATTCATCGTAATACTGCATTCCACAAAATGAGTCTTCAGGTATTTTTTTTTTAAATTTCATTTAGTTTGCATGAAAAAACAGCTTTGCTTTGACTCAACTAGGCATCCTTTAATATGAAGATGGACATTATGTGGGTGAAAATATGTTGAGATTTTATAAGATTCTTTTTTAAAAATCATTACTTAAACAGTGGCTCGTGACTTTCCATTTATTTTATTTGCACACAATATTAAATCCGAGTATTCCATATGTATACATGTGTTCATGCTTGTAGGATGCACTTTGAAGTATAGTGCACTGTATTATTGTGCACCATATTAAGTTATTCAACACCCCTCCCAAATGTTTGTAATACACAACATCTATAGTGGCATGTAACTGTGCATTGTGATCATTCATGAACTGATGAATCTTAAGCATCCCATTGATTGCAATACAATCAAACACCAACAAAACGAGTGCTGTTAATACATGTACAACATCCTGCTTGTAACACAGAAAAGTTTAATTCTCCCAGTCTTTGTAATCTTTGTTTTCCAACATTGATAAAGAAGCTCCCTAATATAACAAAGGTACATGTAATTTTGAAATTTAAACGACCTTGTTATGAAGGTGTTCAACTGTGCTTGTATATGCAAATATGTGAGTGATATGCTGTTTGCTTGTACAGAATTAACAATTAGCAGCTGACTATGGTAACTTGTAAAGCTGATCTACATCTACTCTAATTACAGAACGTGTTTAACCACTTTACGCCAATGGCAGTTATCAATTTTGATGATGCTGGGGTGGGATAGTTATCATTTTTTTGTTTCCAAAATTCTTTAAAAATTCACATCTTCATTTACTGGACACTTACACCCACACGAAGGACTGTATGGTTTCTACTCTAATCTGACAGACAACTTCTATTGATGCTGGAGTATTTCAGCCAGGCCTGCTGCCTTGTAAAAAGAGCCCAGATTGTGCAGTGATACGTAATTTTCTTTTGTTCACGAAACTGGCACAGTGCGCTGTAGACCTCTTTTCAATAGGGGCCAGATTAGCACGCAATGGTGCTGTGTGGTTCATCGCTTTTGTTCCCGGTGGTAATCCACTCGCGCTGAATCCCCAAAACCGTAGTATACTGTTTCAAAACAAGGCTGGATTATCTCCACTATTGAGAGTGAAAATATGTTGGTAATTCCCAGCAGCCTGGTCTTTTGTTACGAGTACAGTCTTTTGTTACAAAGCCAAGTTCCCTTTGTTCGATTTCAGAGACCCCGGCCACGCATATAAAGAATACGTGTCCGGTACCGGAAACCCAAGCGGCAAGTGGTTAATATACCTTCTTATTTTCTAGTTGTATTAATTCATTTATTTGGGGGCTAAAGTGTTAAGTTAAACTGTTCTTATAGTCCACGGAGAACACAATTTGTGCATGGGTTCTGAACTAACAATACTCTAGTTTTACATGTATGCAATAAAAACATCCTGAAAACTGCTATGAATACAGTACATAAAGCGAGTTTGAGACAGAAGTCCAACATTCACACTCAACAGACCAGATCCCAAGATTAGAGCCCAGTGCTTTTTGAAAAAACAACATGAACGGAACTCTTCTATAGAAACCATAGAGTTACATGTATATTCAATTACTAAAGCACTAATTTCTCATCCTCCACATAGAGAAAATTTTAGGCTGTCCTTGGTGCAGACCTTTTGAATCAATGTGTGTGCTTGAAGAACATTTGAAAATGGACAGCATGAATATCGAATCGGTATTGCCCATGCATGTGCATTGCTTACGCAAACTGAAACACTCATTTACTGATTATGCGTTTAGGTTTTTCGCTTATCGGCTTTGTTGATGCATTGTTTTAGAATACAGATGCAGATATGCAAAGTCATACAAAAGTTGTACAAAATTTTGAGTTTGGCATGGTTTGTGCACAAACATAGATGCCCAAGCAGGCATCATTTTGAATATGAGTCACTGCTCTAGTTTTATATATAGCTCTACGATTGAAACCCAAATAGGCTTTATGGAGAAAACTTTAAAGTGATCAAATACGTCCTGCAGACGATTTGTCAATACACTTTTAGTTCCACTGAATCCAGCCAATACCCACAGCACAATACACATTACAAAAAGAAAAAAGCTGAGCACTTTCCATCCCAGTTTCATGGTTGAAACAAAATTTAAGATTTTCTGACTTGCAAAAATTAATAACAGAAAACATAAAATGTAAAAATCACACCAATCCCATCCATGAAACAAAGGGTGGAAAAAGTAATTTGACACTTCTAAATGTAACAAATATTTCCAACAGGAATTTGATGTATGTCTGGCATTATTATAATTAGGAAACAAATACTGATGATAGTAACGTATGTATGTACCAATGATGAGATTTACCTGACTTCACAACCTGTGCAATATTAATTGAGTAGTATCTACCTAGGATTTGTAAGACTTCAAAGTGTTAACAATGACTGATCACGATGATTTCATTAATAATGTTGTTTCCAAACATCAGTTGACTGTAGTAGGTTGTCACGTCAGTGTGAAGGCCAAACCCTCAGTTACATAGAGTAAACATTTAACCATATTTTCTTTGAAGAAAAATTAGTTTTCTCCATAAAATGCCACTCTTGATCAACACCATTGCCTTGACCAAGTCAGACTACTGTCCAAATTGTTAAGCGGCTGACATCATGCCTTTCCCATTCACTGATATTTATACTAAGTGATGTTCATATACTTCCATTTCTTTATCTGACCTTTGTAAACCTTAGTTATTGACAAAAATGAAACTGTACTGTATTATATTTTCAGACATATGTCATTATATTTTAAAGAAAAAAAATTTTTAAAAACTGTTTTTTAAAGTGGATAATGAGCCCTACCATTAAGGTCCCTAAAGCAAAGATCCTCATATAAACATTAATTCATATCTACAACCGTTTCTTTTTCAATTTACTCACCTAGCGTATGCCTTGCATGCACCTTTTCAGCACTAAGCTGATGATTTAATTGTTCAGTGTGTTAATGAACAATGGCTGATCAAATAATCAAAATCACAAAAAATTGATTTCTTGATCAATCTAGGAAGAGGATTTACACTAAAAGCCACACTACTGTATCAACTCATCATTTCTAGTTAGAAACAGAATGCTCCAGAGAGTTTAAAAAATACATGGAACATTTAATAGTGTAACAGTTTGGTTGAATCAAGACAGAAATGGTATGTCCTTTCTTGTCTGATGAGCTGGTCAGTTGATATGCAAGTTGCATAATCTGATGATCACATAGCTCCTATGCCTCCATTGTATGCATAATCAGCCTTGTTGTGCATAATAAGCTTGTTGTCAACAAAGTAGAAGCTGTCTGATTTGGTGTCAAAAGGTCGATCCACCATTTCCTGAACTGTTCAATACAGAGAATGAAGAATATTTGACATAAGTAAACACTACACATGAAAAAATTATGGCTGAAAATGAACTACCAATAATGAGCAATTCACAACTTGGGCAGTGCTGCACTAGAAGATACTAATGCATTAGGAAGCCCGAGAGCCTCATCACGACATCAATAAAAATCCTCATAAAGTCAAAGTGAGCATGTCAAACATAAGCATGGAATTGCCAATTCCTTGTTGAAACAAAAATTACAATGGATGCTCATCAAGCTGGTTTCGTGAAGTGAATGTAGGTACATGTAACCTCAAGCATGCATAAATGACCGAAATTGCATGCTTAGGTAAGTACAGTCAACTGCTGTTTGCTGTATCCTTTGGAACATTCCCGATAATTGAGTAAGTGTTGCCCTATGGCGGATGAAACTGTGAATGGTTTGGGTGTTTGCCGTGGGGTCTTCACTTGTGCCGGGCGGTTGCTTACGTGATGCTGACAAGTTACTACGGATAGAAAGGGGAATATGCTCGGCACTGTACGATGCAAGCAAATGTTGAACTCTTATCACCAAGATTTGTGCCTGTTGGTCGCCCACCTTGTCAGTCATATTTCACTAATGATCGCTGCCCAGTTTTCTTCTATGTGCATGTGTCTATATATGATCACACGGTTTTCCTCCGTCTTTATACTATGTACAATGCACACGGCATGCGCCCAAGTTAACTGCAGCATAGCTTACATGTAGGTACATGCACACACGTACAGATACCAGGTACCCGAGTTGACTGATTTGTGGTCACATGCTGTACAGAGTGTGTATGGGGAGCAGACGTTTCACATATTCATAATGCATTAGCTGTCTATGTTCAGTCCCAGGTATGAAATGATCAAACCTAAGAGGGCAAACGTGCCTTGTCTTTTCTTTCACCTTTTTTTTATATAATTGGTTGCCATCTTTTTATTGATTTCACAAAATCCAAAGCCTATCTGTCCTGCGAATAATAGACAGAATAATGTTTCTGTGTGTTTTTGTCAGATTTTGTAAATATTGTAGGTCGTGGTCTTGGTCTCGACCTGCAAAAGTCCCGGTCTCGAAGTCCTGGTCTTGAGGGAGTAGGTCTCGGTTAGGCTTGGGCGGTATTGCCTTTTTCGATACCGCGTCCATGAAAAAAATACCGCGGTATTTACTAATACCGCGGTATTTACTAATACCGCGGTATTCGTTGCAGAAGGCAATGACTCCATCAAAAAGCAGCGGCGATGCTGGCATTCAAAGGCAAACCACAAACAACATCAGGGGCCAGCATAAAGGTTTTAACGTCACAAAACCCACTAAACTTAATAACTATTATCATTTATCTGTCCATTTGATGTCAAATAATATTTAATTATGTGAAAGAATTTTTAAAAAAAAGGATGGCCTTTTAAATACCGATTTGTTGCTTCGCGATATATATGTGTGTGGTCACTCGTACATGTTTTATTCCTCCATGCTCGTACGGTGTCAAAATCTGCACATGTGCTGCAGTCAAGTTGGTACTTGCTGAGACAGTGCATTATTGTAATGAGTACGTGCAGGTCAACAGTGGCTGCTCCTCTTAGCTGTGCCCTAACACTGCATGTGTGCAATGGTAAGGTGGCTTTCAGAAAACTCTGCAACGCGGTAGTCGACTCTTATTATGAAATCGGTTGTAACGAAATTCCGATTACAACAAGCATAAATCTGTGGTCCCGGTGAAAACGTGCACATTTCTATGGGGAGAAAATATGTTACAGAGAAATAGCATTGTATGGAATTCCTGGTACAATGAAAGGTTTTCGTGACTCTGTTGCCTGAAAACCATTCTTGACGACCCATTCATAAAGCATTTGCGAATCGCGGTGTTGAAAACACGTGCGCGGTGAACCACACTGGTTCCCGCCGGGCCGAACCGTTGCAAATGAAGGCATGATGGAAATGCGGCAAGCAGTCAATGTACAGGTTCTGCCAAAAAAGGGTCATACGTTCCACTACATCAAATGCGGCTCTATAGTTGCAAGTCGGAAAACACTGCCGTCACAAATTTTTCTGCAGGTTCATTCACAAAAATTGATCTCGTGTCTATGTTTGTGTTTTCTGTGTTCATGAATTTAATTTGAAGTTGTGCTGCTTGTACTCAAGCGAGTGTGCTTCCACAAAATTTCCAGCCGTGCAACACAAGGCTTATTGCACGCATGCTTACAACGCGATATACAGACATCGGTTGCCAGATTCCTGTCGTCATGACACGCGTAGTGCACAATTAAAAAATCCATGATATTTTACATTCATTACACGAACGCCAAAGCAAAAATTCCCATCCCATTTCCGATAAAATATGCCCCAAATAAGTTCGCATGACTATTCTCGTATCTCAAGAGTCCAACTAATCAGCCAACACTGAATTATTCATATTGCTGCAAAGAGATCTAGCGTGCCTGCCAATGAGACTGTGCGCTTTCATGACATACATTTGGCAAGACACAGCTATCCAATCGCAGTACTCGTTCTTGACATTATGCTTCTTCAGCGACTGTTACGCGGACAGGCGGCCGCGCCGCAGTGGGCCAGTGATCTCGGACTACCAATCAATCGTGTCATGCAGCTTGTGTCAAAAATCAAAAGAGAGGCGAAAAATTAAACAAAAAAGTCTCTCTGTGACACAATTTGAGTTGGAAAGACTACTTACATGGATGGGGGCTTTAGTTGATGAGCCTTCAATTTTTGCTGGTACATCCAGGCCTACATATGCATTCAGGTTAGTTACTGTTGGCTTTGTCGCCATCCATGGCGATTGAAAGTCTTTTAAAAATCCCTGGATCGATGCTTTCACATGTAGTTGCTTTTTTAACTTTCACATGCACATTAAACATGTTGTCCTATGACAATGAAGTTTGTTATTCTAAACACATCACAAGGTATTTTATTAATCATAACTGAGAGATCTTTTTGATCAACCACGTTGTCCTAAATTTATATTCTGAAAAAACTGAAATACAAGCAGTGACAAGTGAGGAATCGGGTTTTTGCTTCTCTTTTCGTGTGGTTGGAACGAATGTGAGAACAATAAAAAAGATCATTGATTGCCGTGGATGTCGAACAGATGCAGGTTTATGGAATCATTTTATAGTTTATAACACACATTCTTGGCTTCGGTTAGATAGATTTTCACACAATACTTGTACATGTTGTATATAAAGGACAAAAAAGACCCTAAGAGAGCACAAGGCTTGCACAAGCAGCATTCGCATTTTCTGATCCGCCAATAAAAAACTTCGGAAAATAAAGTCCAGTGCGGACACGGAAGACCAGCTGATTTTTAATTCCCAACCTGTAGGCCTGTGATATGTGTACCTGTATACATGTGCCAGTGAGTAATACAAGAAGCACTGCCTACAAGCTATTCCAAAATTGCAAACTTGACGGCGGCGACAGGGAAACAAAACCTTTTGACAGGCAGGTTGATGGCTGCATGCTGAAGTATCACGTTACGTCTTATCTCTTCACCAAAAGAGACAATACAAACATGATGCTGGATGACTGAAACCACAAAGTATGCAGTCACTGGTTGTGGATATAATTGTCTGCTTTCATCTTATGAGGGTTGTGGGAACATTCTGAACAAATTAGCCAGAATATTGCAGTATTGAACTTCAATACCGAATTAGTCGGTATTCATGGATTGTTAGTCGGTATTGTTCGGTATTAAAAACAAAACCACAGTATTCGGTAATACCGAAATACCGCCCAAGCCAAGTCTCGGTCTTGGTCTCGTATGCCTAGGTCTCAGTTTCGGTCTTGGTCTCGGACATCAAGGTCTCGGACATCACGGTCTCGGATACAACACTGGATACCATTAACTTGTATTCAGATCAAGTTGTGGCCCTTACAGTGTGACCACAGATATTGATTTTTCATAGCAATAAACGTGTTCACGGAAGGATATGCCGGAATGAAGTTTAAGAGATGAGTGTGATTTCAACAGCACAATTGTCCGGGGAAAAGATTTTTAAAAAATTCCAACTCATCAATTCGTATACAAGTAGTTTTAAAGGGATCTGGAGAGTGATTTTTTAAAAAGTGAATCATGAGCTCAATTTCCAGTGTTGCAATACCAGATGACATGTTTCTTCATGACAGCATATGCCTTTTGAACATAATCTGGTACACTGATTCTTTAACCCTTAACACTGAACATAACACTTTGAATTCCCCATACTAAAGACACTGTTGCTATTATAAACTTGTGATTCTGGGTAAACTTTTGCTTAGTTACATAGGTACATAAGAGATGCCTCGAACCAATACCCTGTTTTCAATGGATAAGAGGGGCACAAAGGAACCACTCCATTCCAGAGATGAAGGTCGCTATGCAAAAGCCCCAAATCACAAGGTACACTGTAGCAACAGGGCCTTTAGTCTGGGGAAGGCAAATTGTTATGTTTATGTGCTGTCAGATAACTCAGTGTACCAGGTTTTAATCAAATTTAACTTGCAAAAGGCTCAACAGCAATGCATCACAGCAATTGCTCCGCCGAGTTTACCCAGGGATCTTTACTGCTACCATTCCCTAGGTCTGTAATCAATTCGTTCTGAGTCAACACGGAAATATTGTACACAAAAACTTACGTTTTCCGTATTTTCTAAAAATAGCTAATAACCAGGCCTTTATGACCAAACTGACAAAAACAGAGTATAACCAAAGTCGCATCCAAGTTAAAAATAATCAAATGTTTCCATAGGGCCTGAGTTGACCTAGGACCGAATAGACTCGGACCGAATTGGTTACGGACCAAGTTGACCATAAACCTAAGGAGCATTTGGTTTTGCATGTTCCAACCATTTTGAAGTAGCATGCGAAACCACATGTTCGAGCTCTGACAGGAACTAGCAAAACCGAAGTCTAAGCCAAATCCACTCATTTCGAAAACATTGCTAGACATAGACCCATGAACGTAGATGGTTTTTCACAGTCAATGCTATTCTCCTGATTCATTTCAAAAGCTTTCCAAAAGCAGGCACTGCCCGCAAAAGAGTGTCTGTTTCAGTCCCCGAGTGGCAGATATCCTATGCAACTGAAAATTTTTGGATATAGTTACTTACGTAAGTACTGACCCTGCTCGTCAAACTTTGGGCTGAAACAGAAACTTTTGAATGAATCATTTGCATGGCATTATGGCATAGCGGTGTATACTATGACGTTGTGTTGCCAAATGACCTTAATGTTCTTCATTTCAAACAAAATCTTTGGTGTGTCCGAGATTTGAGCCCAGGAGGGCTATATTGGGAACTCGGACTCGCTTGGACACGACAATACGGACTCGAACTTGAGCCAGACTTGGACATAATTGGACTCGAACTTGGCTCGGACTCGTACCCTCGTGGACTTGGCTAGGCTCGAACTAAGATTACATGGACTCGACACCATCACTTTGTTTAGCTGTTTGCGTCTGATATGGTAGCAACAAGCTAGTATACTCCCCAGGGAGCTGGGATGGTTTCTGGAATGTTCGGTTGTTGTGAGCCCTACATGCAGGGATAATAATAAAAGCACACATTAAGGTTTCTGTCACTTATTCTATGCGCTATGTAAGACCAAGCATAATTATTATTATTATTACTTACTTTCTTCTGGAGTGAGCTTGGGAAATTCATATATATGCTCGCATGTATTCTTGCTGTTAGGAATGCAGAAACCAAAGTTAAAGTCGAACGTCTTCAGGCATCTGTCTTTGAAGTAGTGCCTTTCTATCATGCGGAAGTTTTTCACTGGCTTATCACCCACAACAAATTCAACTCTGAAAGAACAAAAAGTTTGGTGCTATTAATAACATCTTTGCATCATCACACCACAACCATTTATAATCCTGTTCTTTAAACCCTGTTCCAACACAACTAGTTTAAATGCCTGGATGATTTACGACCCTCACTAACTAAAAGTTGCCATTTTGTCTCTCTGGTCTAGGGGACTTTCCACAAGGATTGAAAGAAGCAGTAGTCTTTCCATTAAGGATGATAACTTAGACCCAGGGAATCCTCAGAATTATCATCCAATTGGTGACCCCAAGTACTACCGGTACATGTATAAGTATATATGTAGATCAAAGTTATATGAAAGAGCTGTTTTTGATCAGGTTAATAGACTTATGACAAGTTAATTCCCTCTATCTCCTCCCTTATAATCAGCATACAGGAAGAATCACTGTACTGAAACAGCTTTGTTGCGAGTTACATATGATATCTTGTTGAAGATGAATTCTGCACATGAAAATCTACTGGTTCTTTAGATCATAGTGCCGCTTTTGATGCGGTCGATCATAGCATTTTGCTGTCCAGACTCAAAATTTAGAATCACAGGCAATGCATTGGCCTTGTTCTGTTCATACATGTATTTAACTGGAAGAAGTCAGCGTGTATCAGTGTATAGAATTCTATTTGATTCTTATGAGTAACAGTGTGGGGATCCTCAGGGATCCTGTCTTGGACCGTTATTGTTCAATATAATATATTCTTCGAAATTATTTGATATTGTAAAGCATCAAATGTTTCATTCCAAATGTTCATTGCTATGCTGATGATACTCAGTCATATCTTTTAGCCATGTAATCCAGTTCATCAAGAACAAGCATTTATAGCTAAGGAAAATTGTATTCAAGATCTATGAAAGTGGATGTTGCATGATCGACTTATGTTTAAAGATGTTAAAGCAGAGTTTATCATGGTTGACACCAGGCAACAACTCTCTAAATTGTCAATTTTTAATATGAAAGTTCATAATTTCAATGGGTAAATCAAGTCATGATCGACATTTGGGTATCCGGATTGATCCTAATCCTGATATGAATAAACACATCACAAAAACCTGTTCATCGGCATTTTACCACATTCATAATAAACAGAGGATTTCAGAAATATTTACCAAGGAATACATGTATATTAGAGGTTCTCATTAATGCTTTTGTGACAAGTCAACTCGACTATTGTAATAGCTTGTTTAATGGTCTTTCAAATGTTCAACTTTCTAAATTACAGCGAGTCCAGAATGTAGCTGCACGATTAGTGTCTGGTGCTTCCAGAAATGATCATACGACCCCAATCCTTTTTGATTTACACTGACTACTGGTAGTTTTTCGCATTCACTTTAAAATTCTCTTTCTAGCATTCAAAGTTGTCTGGGGAGTAGCCCCGAGTATTTGTCCGAATAACTTAGAATTAAGAAACACATGTTATTCACTTTTGTTCGGAGAGTAGAATCATTCTAGACTATCCACAGGGAAGATTGATGAAGACTTTGGGTTCCAGGTCATTATCTGCTTCTGCACCACATCTTTAGAACCAGCTACCCTCTGAAATTCAGATCATTCAATCCCTGGCTGTTTTAAAGAACTTTAAAACTTTTTGGTTTATGGTTGCATTTTAAATAGATTTTTGCCAACGTGTGTTTTTATTTTGGTTGTACATTAAGTGGTGCTTTTAATGTTAGTAATTTGGAATTTTAATGTACATGTAGTCTTATTTCTATGTATACATTGTATATACATGTACAAGTATTTAATGTTATAGCTTGTCAGTTGTAGTTTGCACTTTTCTGGTGCACAATCTAAATTTACTGTACCGGTACAGTATCCCCTGGATATTTCAAAGGAACCAGAACTTATGTTTGTAGACAGAAAAACAAATTGTTTACAATATTCATGTTCATTAAAAGGTAAACAAAAAATCTAAAAGACAAAAACAAACAAGAATAACTTATTTATACAATGCCTCGCTGAGCCCATGATCTATGGATGAATGCCTGACCCCATGATTCATTACGTCAGTCTTTCTTGAGTTACAGAGGGTCCAAAATGAAAAGCTTGGGGACAACAAGACTAAACCATGAACATGTACCAAGTAATATGCTGATGCGAGCACTCCCATTTGTCCTTGAATTCGGTGAGAAAAAACACTAATATTAGTTTAACCATAATGACCATGACCTTTCACCTATGGGCCCAAATGCTTCCGAAGGTCATTAAGACCAACCCACACATATGTATCAAGTTTAAAGTTGACAT